AATTTTAGTTTGTTTTAAAAGCATTAATTAGAGTCTTATAAGTGATCCATCAGGTAAAAAAGCCTGAAAACAAAAAAAGCTTTCCAAAGGCATGTCCAAGGCCAATGCCCATACTGAACAAAATTATAAAATTAATTGGCATTCTACCACATTTTTATTGCTTTCTCTGATGCTCCTCTCTATTTTCCCACCCCAATACTTACACTCAAATCTATTTAACCATTGTAGTCAACTAGCAGCCAATCAGTAACAGATGTGAGTTAGTCAAGTTCCCAAAGATACTTGAATCTGAATGTAAGTCGTTTGAAGACTAAGTAAACTTTCAGCCTCAAAAGCAGTATTTTTCAACCTTGACTGTGCATTAGAATTACCTAGGCGGCTTTTTAAAAGCTGGTGCCCTCACCATCCTTCTAAGAATTAAGTCAGAATCTTTGGGGGTGAGGCACAAACATCAGAACTGTTTAAAGTTCTCCAGATCATTCCAATGTGCAGCCACAGATAAGGTCCATTGCTTTAGGGAAAGCATTTGAAACAATGAAATTTCAAGATACTGAAAGAGATTTTTAAATGAAGATATATCATGTTGCTCTGTTGAGAAAGCTATGTTCAAAGACCATTTTTACTGTGGAAAAAATACTACATTTTAAAAATCACTAGAGACTCAATTTCTAAGTCTTGATTTCTGCAAGTTACTTCACTTGAGTTTTACCTGAGGAATATAAATAACGTGACTATCTCACGGTGTTGCTGAAGATGATCAAACGCAACAGGGCACCAGAAAATGTTTTACACTGGAGAATTTTATTTATTATCACAGAGCTGAACTTTAGAACTGTAATGTGCATTACAACTGTTCTATGGATTATCACCTAAAAGATCTACCACTTTGTGTTAGTAGACACTAGATGAAATGTAAGGGTCTAACCCAGTTATTCTCAAAGCATGGCTTTTGAACCAGGAGCACCACCAACTGTATTAAAAACTTGTCAGAAATGCCAATTCTTGGAATCTGTGACAGACCTATCAAATCAGAAACTGGTGGCAGAACCTAGCAATCTTGTTTGAACAAACCCTCTACATAATTTCGATGCATGCTAAAATTTGAGAACCACACATCTAGCCAAACATTAGTAAAAACAGAATATGTATGACTAAAATCCAAGGATGATTATATACTATTTGTTATTTGAATCTTTAGAAGTCAGAGTACAAAGGCACACTAGCGTAAATTACTGGTATATAAAAAAACTCCTAAATCTTTATATTTTAAAATAATGCAATTCTTACTACCCAGCCAACCTTTATCAATGAACACATTAATTACGAATACAATGGTAGAACCTAAATTTGGCAGTCAGATAAATTATAGAGTATACAATATTTTGAATAAGAAATAAAAAAACACAGAACTCTAGTACAAATAACAATGGTTCAGAAGATAACCAAGTTTTAATTTAATGGGCTTGGGTCTCTCTCTGAGGAAGAGTCACAACTGCATCTTAAAAATCCCATTCAGACTGAAGACAGCACCCCATAGCACATCAGTGTTTGTGTTCAGGCTAAGGAAGTGTTTCATCACTGACTCAGGAAAAAGACCATTACTCGGACTGAATCACCAGCAATGCTTCCTGAAGCATTAGATTTGTCACTGGATCTGCTAAGCAACAGAAAAACAGTCTCAAAACTTCTTATCTGAAAAGATCTCATAAGAAAGAGCTATCAACATTGCTCCCAAACACAGAGTCCAAATGTCTTGCCATTAATGAGACATAGGCAGGTCAGTAATAGGTAAGAATACTGAAGAGTCTTGTGAGATTGCAATAGAAAGTTCTTCGAGATCTATCTTGTTCTTTATCCATTTTTAAAAGTTTGGGCAGCCTCAAGACACCTAACAGCACCACTCTGGAAAGATGCGAGTGAAGTATCGCAATTTAGAACTGACTTTTGCCTGAAAGATTCCTTAACTATAGATGAGGTTCCATTTACCATTACCAAGGAGATGACTCTGGCTCTCTCTCTGATCAAGATTCCTGAGTCCCACCAGATTTTATTTCCTTCAATCATATGTTTATTGTATTTAAAACACCTGGGATTTAAAGTGGGGGCATATATAAGAAGAGTAACTCCAGTAAGTAATATTGACACTCTGTATCCTAAGAAATATTTCCTACCTATTCATAGCAAAGAAGACAGAAGAGAGGAGCTTGGTTTTATGTATCCAGGCTCATCAAAAGCATACTGCCTCTCTCTGCCAATCCTTTGGCCTCACCTCATAAGAAGAACAGCAATGCTAAGCCTTATTTTCCATGCTGAAAAGAGCTAAAATAAATACATAATTGCCATAATAATTCCTTTTGCTCAATATAATATTCATTCATCAATGAATATTGAGTGCCCAGTATGTGCCAGTCATTGTTCTCAGTGCAAAATGAGTCTAGAGAGATTCAGACTTCAGTGATGAGGCGTGGAGTCTATGGGTCTAGAATGCTAGGTGTCTGGTTCTGTCAGCCAAGACCAGTGGTACTCAAACTTGACCAAGCATCAGAAGCACGCACAGAGTTGCTAAAACATAGATTGCTTGGCTCCACCCAGAGAGTTTCTACTCAGTGCGTGTGAGATAGGGCCGCCAAATTAGCCTTTCTAATAAATTCTGAAGCGATATTGATGCTACTGGTCCAAGGACCACACTTTGGGAACCATTTGCCAAGACAAATGGGCACTCTTCACACTATGCCTGCCAACTTACAAGCACTGCGCATCTCTCTTCCAAAGAAGGCAATGGCTCCACGAGTGCTATCATAATCACTTAAACTGAGCACAATTCCAGCTCCCAGAACCATCTCAAATATCTAGGATAAGTAACCTCAGAGAGAAGGAAGAAATACAAGTAACAAAGAAGAGAAAATTGTCCTTCCAGGGCTTTTCTCCCTCCTTTTCTTTTGATTTATCCCCTCTCACGAGAAATCACTTTTCTATTTTGATTTCTCAATACATGTGTTATGGAAAAGAATAACACTCATTTAGATTTTTCATATTTCTTCAATAAAGTCATAGTTTTTCTTCTAAATTCAGTTCTCAAGACTTATTTTCTTCTTTTTTGTTGGACTATCCCCTTTTTGAACAAAAGAACCAGGGTTAGAAGGAACATTGTGAATTCACTTAATCCCTTCTTGGCCTCAGACAAGTCTGTGTCTAAACTATCCCCAAATATAGCAATTTTTAGTACAAAGACGAACAGGCACTAAGAATTTGCCAGTCAACATTCTGTCACGTACTTGAAGACACTAATATACTTTCCCTCAGCCTTCTCTTCTCTAAGCTAATCCAACCTCAACACAAATGTTCCTCATTAGATTTCCTAAACTTTAATTTATTTTGACTCTTCTTTAATAAGTTTATCTCACCTTACTAAGGGTCTGAATTATACATGTACTGTTATCAGGAAGACTTCTTTTTGCTACATGAAATGGGGAAAGTTAATTGATAGACTGAATGAAGAATTAAGAAGTTAATTGGAATAAATTAAGAAGTTAATTGGAATAAAGAAATATATATGTCTAAACGCCACTAAATAATAATACAGTGGTGTTCACTTCACCAATAAAAGAAACAGTAATGTGCTATCGTTTTTATATCTTTACATTACAAATCACCAACCATTTCACACATCAAATGGATGGAAATTAGAGATCTTTTAAAATATGCCACAAATTATATATAACTGTGTTTCACGATACTTCACATAAGAGAAAACATTAGTACTCATTCTCTTTTATTTGGATAGTATTTACTACCGAATTTGCATTTGCAGTTAATCAATGATTTAATTCTGTATGAGTTTAAAAATACTGACTTGGTCATATGATAATCATTTCTGTGAAAATAATTTCTCTGATTCAATCCTTGAAAATCACAGGTGTTAGAGGTTTAGTGAGTAAAGGCCAAGCAAGGATAAAGTCCATGTTAAGTGATATGTTTCCAAGAAGTTTAGAAAGAAAAAATTGGTAGTACATTAGAATATAGGATAAAATGGGATAATCCATTCTATTTCAATTTCTCCCATTCTAAATATCACTATTCAAAATTTAATCTTTGCTCTCGGAATGGTGAGGTGCTTTAGCCTAGGCCTGAGGGATAGGTTTGTCTCTTTGCCTAATGCAACCAAGGTGTACGGTGGAGGCGATGCGCTTAGTCTCCAGAGAGAAGGAAGATGCTGCTTGCACAGCACTTCTACTCACCAGTCCATGCAGCAGCAAGGGTGTTGGCTTTGAAGGAAGCCAACTGTCCTGCTCTCCCAGCCAGAGGTAAAGAATTGCATTGGTGGCCACTAGAGGGAGGAGGATTAGGAATAGAGTAAATTGTGGGGAAAAGGCACCCATGAAAAACGCACATGGGACAACCAACACATCACCAACCACCGCCTAGCAGCTACCTCTCTGAGGGACTGTAATGGGGGTCAGCACACACCGTTAACCCAGAGACCCAGACACCAATAATGATTGTAGTGCCCTGGTAAATAGCCTCTTAACTGTGATGGCAGGAAAAGGGAGTTTGAGTAGGATTATGGGAAACACGCAAGCACACAAACGCAGGCACACAAGCACACAGACATACATTCTCATCCCCCATTACAAGAAGTTGTATCTGTGCAGTCTGATTCTTGCCCATTTTCTCATTTAAAACTCTTAATGTTCTTTACCAAGAATGCGTTCACGAAAAGCAAACAGCCCACCTTCAAGTTAGTCTTGGGAGAAGCACCAGCAGAGACACTCATTGTGCCAAGATGTATTTTACCAACAAATCTGTACAAATTACATGAGGTTAAAAACAAGTGGAATATAATATAATTAAAGCAAAGTTTCTTTTGCTAAATTACAGCTTGAAGCAAACCTGCAAGAAATGTTTCCAATTAGCTTCTTTTAGCAAACACGAAGCATAGCTCAGAACATGTTTTGCTTTCCATCCTGCCCTCTGGGTGGGCTGCCTAGTGAGTGTCTTACCTCCAGCACAAGTAGCTGAGCATTCTGACCACGGCTGATGATTCCACGTGAAGCTAATATCACTGTCTCCACTTCCAGTCCGAGGGATGGGAACATTGAATTTATATCTAATTCCCAAATTTTGTTCTTGAAGCAGAACCTGCCATTGAAAACAATTGGTGAAGTTAATTAAAATACAATGAGCCTTCATTCAGATATTTATTATTTCTTCTGAAGAAGATGATGTCATAAAGTAAGTCTTACAGGAAACTTAAGATAACATTTAGAATACATGCACTTACATGGAATTATTTCCTTCCATTTTTATGGATAATTTGGAGCCATTTCTGTCATCTACCTTGTTTGTTTATAAAACAATCACACAGAAAGAGCACTATGTCTTTAACTTTACAAGGATTTTAAGCACTTGGGCAAACCATTTCACCTTTATTCCTCTAATCTTACCAATGATAAAGCAGAGATAAATAAGGCCTGCTTCTTCCTACCTCACAGGGCAGATGACAAACAGTACAAATAAAAAGACAAAGACACATTTACCATGACAATGAGATTGTCCGAGGTGGGACCTTGAGCTTCCAGGGATTCTGGTTCATCAGTTGGTCTCTTGTAGTGAAAAGCTGTTCCAGCAATATCGAACTTCCTAGGCCAGTCAATAGTCCAGGCACCATTAAGGTAATAATTATCTTTTTCAGATTTTAAAGCTAAAAAAAATAAATCACAGAATACCTAAAAATATGAAACTTTCTTTACCACAATATCACTGATTAACAACAACTGCACTAAAGTATACAATGAATATCCATTTGGGACTCCTCACTATTTTCTTTTTTTAAAGATTTTGTTTATTTTTAGAGAGAGGGGAAGAGAGAGAGAGAAACATAAATGCAAGAGAGAGTGTTCTATTGGTTGCCTTTCTTATGCACCACAACTGAGGGCTGAGCTCACAACTGAGGCATGCACCCTGACTGGGAATTGAAGCGGTGTGGCCTTTAGCCTTGCAGAGTGATGCTCAACCATCCAAGCCACACTGGTCAAGGCTTGGTCATTTTCTTAAGTACAAATTAAAATGATAATTTTCCATATGAATGTCAAGAAGACATTAAGTATTTATAGTGTCATTGACAGAAAAGAATAAAACATTATCAGGAGAAATAAACATATGGAACTAGCAAGGAAAACTATGACAAAAGAAATAACTAGAGATGGGAGAGATGTAGGAATCAGACTTCACCGTCCAAACATTTAGAAAGTAATTGTATGAATATTGAGTGGGGAGAAACTATGGTACTGGCACATGGACGACAATGGAGCCAGACAGAGAGTTAAGAAACAAACCCCAGTATATATGAGAATTAATATATAACAAAAGAAGCGTCTTAAATTAGAAAAAAAAAAGATATGAAACCAAGACAAAAAACTAGCCATCTGGCAAAAAAAAAAAAAAGGCTAAATTTACATTTCATTCATTATAAACACCACAATTCCACCCTTATGTACATAACCAAAGGAAATAAAAATAGGTACTGAAACAAATATTTGTTCATATGTGTTTATAGTAGCACTATTCCCAATAACCAAAGGTGCAAATAACCCAAATGTCCACCAGTAGATGGACAAAAATAAATGAATTTTGGTATATACAATGCAACAAAATATGATTCAGAAAAAAAGGAATGGAGTACTAATACATGCTTCAATGATAATGAACCTCAAAAACATTATGCTACATGGAAAATCCTAGACAGAAAAAGTCACATATCATAAACTTCCATTTATGTGAAATATCCAGAACAGGTAAACCCATAGAGACAGAAGGCAGGTTGGTAGTTTCCAGAAATGAGGGAATAGGGATTAACTGCTTGATGGATACGGGGTTCTTCTTGGGGTGATGAAAATATATTTTGGAATGTACCAAATGCCACTAAATTGTTTATTTGAAAATGGTTGAATTCTGTTATGTGAGTTTCACATCAATAAAAACAGTTTAAAAAAAAGAGAAAGAAAGAATTAATGCCAGATGGGTAAATATTAGAAAGTAAACATAGTTGAATAATGTTCAGAAAAAATGTGAGAGAACTTTAAAAAGAATAACACTGGGATATAAAACACTTTTTCAAGCATGACAAAACCCACAAAAAGTAGAAAGAGAAAGATTAATAAATATGCATGCATAATTTTGAAACCTCTATAGGAAAAATATATTAAAAACATTTAAAACTATTGACAGAAAAAGGTTATTAGAACTATTATACAAGAAAAAAGTGGTGGTACACATACATAATGGAATACTACTCAGTCATAAAAAAGAAGGAAATCTTACCCTTTGTGACAGCATGGATGGACTGTGAAATAAACCAGGCAGACAAAGACAAGCACCATCCAATTTTACTTCTATGCGGAATTTAAGAGCAACATAAAGTAACAAAATAGAAACAGACTTCGATACAGAGAACAGACAACTGTCAGAAGGGAGAGGTTTGGTGCTAGGTGAAAAGGTGAAGGGATTAAGCAAGGGAAAAAAGAACTCACAGACACCGATAACAGCACTGTGCTTACCAGAGGGAAAGCGGGGAGGTGGGATGTAGAAGAGGGCTAAGGGGGGCTAAATGGTGATGGGAGGAGATTGGACTTAGGATGGTAAACACACATCTGTATGATACAATATACAGATAATGTATTATAGAATCGTATACCTGAAACCTAGTAACATATAATTTTATTAACTAATTGTAACCCAATAAATTTAATAAAAAATTTAAAAAATACTGTAAGTAGAGAAGACAGTGATAATTTTTTTATCCTCACCTGAGGACATGCTTATTGATTTTTTAGAGAGAGCAGAAGGGAGGGAGAAAGAGAGGGAGAGACACATTTATATGAGAGAGAAACATCAGTTGGTTGCCTTTTGTAGGTGCCCTGACCAGGACTAAGCCTGCAGCATAGGCATGCGCCCTCACGGGGAATAGAACCCATGACCTTTCAGTTTGCGAGACCATGCCCAACCAACTGAGCCACATCAGCCAGGACAACAGTGATAATTTTGATCAGGATTATTGTGATTTCATAATGGCAAGCAAACATGTCAGTTCAATTTTTTTTTGTTATTATTGTAGCTTCTACAAGAAAGTTAGTTTATCAGGTAAGATAAACAAGCAGCCCAGAAAGGACTACTAATGTCACGGTGCAGTCTCCAACCCTCTGGGCCTCCACCAGTGTCCAAAGTAGCACAGGCCGTTTTCTCTGGCCCACTCCAATCTGCCTGGCTTATCGGCTTGTGCTTTCTTGACTACAGATATGTTGTGAAGATTCGTTTGCAAAAATAAATTTAATTAGGCTTTTGAGATAAGAAAACATCCACTGATTTTAAGGATTATTTAGTTTTGAATTTTTCTTTATTTCAAAATGTTTATTTTCAATTCTCACAGTGGTTCCTGTCTCATTTAAAGTATCAGAATTACTTAGGTTATATGAGGATGTCTGAACATGTATAATATGAAATAGTAAAAATAAAAAGAGACACCCCCTCCCCAGGAGTTTCATAGTCTCCTTCAGTTTGAACTCTCACTTTCCCTTCTCCCAACTACTCAATGAAGGGATCCTAACACACCTTTGCTGGTCCATTCGTGGTTCAGAAAACATTAAGCATTTAAGAAGTATTGGATAATAGTTTATTAACAGAGGAGGATGTAGCACTATGGACCGAGAATTATCAAAGGGAAAAATGTAATCTGACAAATCTTATTTTTGCTTTTTTTTAAAAAAAAAATCTTCCTCTAGCCCTCCCAGCACCTACCCCCCCCTATACCAGCCAGGGCTTATTTTTGCTTTTAGTCTTGCTGATGCAGTAAAGAATCCAAAAATTATGATGCAAAAATAAAGGAGTCTTCTTAAATAAAGGAATAACCTGATTATATTGGTTTTCTATCTAAAGATGTATTCAGACATCTTATTTTTAAAATATCTAAGGAAAAGGCAATGATATTTTAAAGGGAGTAGGAACTCACACAGGCCTCCTAGGGGTGTCTAGTGAGTTTAAATCTGTCTCAAAAGATCAAACATTAAAAACAGAGACTCGCCACTTCTTTCCCTGTTGAAATAACCAGTATTAGACTTGCACTCTGACTGCAAACCATGAGAAAATGCACAAAAACATATGAATCAGCTGTTCACAGACATTGGCCAGGACAGAGCATGACTGTGAACTATTCAGGACAGGAAACAAGGTGAGTTGCAAAACCTCCCCAGTTTCCTGCCTAAAGGCACTTTCTGTCAGTATAGAATGGAAGAACCCAAACAGAGCATCATGTTCTTACTCTGTTGGAAGACAGAGATCAGAAATTGGGATAGCTGAATTTTGCAGGACCAAAAAAGCTAAGGTAGAAAGAGGGGCTCTGTTGTTGAACAGTACTTTCTGTATGTATAGGATAAAATTCCAGGAAGCCAGGCAAAAAAAAAAACACACAAAAAAAACCTACCAGGGAGCCATTAGCAGAAAAGTCCGTGGAGTGAGAATTCAGAGAATTTCAATCACTAGGAAATTCAGTAGAAACCATCCCCCTACCACTGCCCTTGCAGCCAAAATCATGTATTTTTATTAAGGCTGAACGGATTCTAGCATAAAGGCTACTCTGGACTCACCCAAACAATGTTCCAAAATAGCCTCAAAAGGATCAAGCTAACCATGCAAGCCACTGTACTTAATTGTTAAAAGGAAGAAAACAAAATCCAGATTTTCAATTAAGAAAATTTTACAACGCATAACACCCAATGAAAAAGTAATACAAGTGGAAAGAAGCAAGAAAATATGATCCAAACCAAAGAAATAAACAAATAAATAAATGAAGAAAAAAACCCAGAAACAACAGAAAAAAAATTTAAATATCTATTATAAATATATTCAAAGACTTTAAATATATATATATAAAGAGAAGAAACTGGGAGATCATATATATATACATATATATACACATGCATATACATGTATATACACATATACACATATATCATATATAATTGCACATCATATATATCATATACACACACATATCTGACCTGATATATGTGCATATGACCCAATATACATATACCACACATGTGTGTATGAGCACATACACCTATCATATGTGTATATGATATAGGTGTATACATGATATGTGTGCATGTTTGTATGATATGTGTATACACATATAAATGTATGTATACACATATATACACATCATATATGTGATACACATATGTGTATCATCCAGATATATACATAGAAAGTTTGCCAGATATGGTAAATATGTAGATTGAAGTTAAAGCAAAGCTTAAGAAGAAAATTTATAGTGCCAAATGCTTATTTTACAGCAGAAAAAAAGGACTTTAAAAGTCTATTATCTGAATTTTTATCTTGAGGAGCTAGAAAAAAATATACATGAAATAAATAAAAAAGAAAATAAAAAATGTGACTAAGTGTAATAAAAATGGAAAAAATAAATATTTAAATTGACAACTCATTCTTTGAAAAGAGCATAAAATTACTAAAAGCCCTCAGTAAATGATTAAGGGGAATAAGCCCAAATTACCAATGTGAGGAGTGAAAAAAAGTCCTTGCTACAGACAGTGAAAGGATAATAAGGGAATACTGGCACAAATTTATGCCAATAAATACTAAAACTTTATAGTTATTACAGAAATTGATTTTTTCATTAAAAACTTC